CCCTGCCCTGGGGGCTGGGGAGGACGTGTCTGAGCTAATTGATGAGAAGTAGGGCTGCGCTGGCCCAGTACTGCTCTGGGTTGGGTTTGGTGATGCAGGAGAGGATGGAGGTGGAGAGGGACAGACACAGACGCCCTGAGAAAGGTGACGGAGCCACATGGAGCACACAGGGCAGCATGTCCTGGCTGGCCCTGGGCAAGCCCGAAACAGCCTGGCACAGGAGGGGCATGGACGTGTGTGCCACGCCAGGGCAGTGGGGCCAGCCCGGTGTCAGCCGGGGTCAGAGTGGACAGCCTTATGCAGATCACCTGCAGTGCCACCAAAGGATTCTTAGTGAATGTGAACGAGTACCTAGAAATTCTCACCACCCCCAAACGTTAACTAACGTACCAAAACAGAACTCCTAAAAGGCAAGGGTATCAAAACGGGGACACGGGCAATAAAAAACCCCACACATATTCCTGACGTTCCCGTTCCTAAAGGAAAATACACATATGCAAGTTGAGGCCCCTAGGTAATTAAGCAAGACTGGAAATTATGCAAATGAAATATATTCAAGTATGCACTGAATTTTAAATGACAGAACTACGGAAAACTTAATCGCTGTATTAGCATGCTATAAAAACACTAATCATAAATGTAAAACAATGCATGCATATACTTATACCAAAATTGTCCCAGTGACACAAACATCAAATCGCTCCTTCCCGCTGGGTTCACGTGCAAACTCACCTCAATATATTGAAAGAAGGAAAGATGATACCAGAGTTTCACTGATCATTTCAAACCATACTACTGACTAGCATAAATGTCAAGTGTTTACTTTGTTTCTGTTCAATGCTTCTGAAATAGTTTTTGTTTTTTGGGTTTTTTTTGCGGTACGCGGGCCTCTCACTGTTTTGGCCTCTCCCGTTGCGGATGGAGCACAGGCTCCGGACGCGCAGGCTCAGTGGCCATGGCTCACGGGCCCAGCCACTCCGCAGCATGTGGGATCTTCCCGGACCGGGGCACGAACCCGCGTCCCCTGCAGCGGCAGGCGGACTCTCAACCACTGCACCACCAGGGAAGCCCCTGAAATGGTTATTTTTAAGAGTCAAAAATACGGTTTTCTACAGCACTAAGTTTTTAAAATTTTTTAAACTTTTATTTTATATTGGAGTATAGTTGATTAACAACGTTGTGTTAGTTTCAGGTGTACAGCAGAGTGATTCAGTTATACATGTACATGTATCCATTCTTTTTCAAGTGCTTTTCCCATTTAGGTTATTACAGAATATTGAGCAGAGTTCCCTGTGCTATACAGTAGGTCCTGTTTGGTTATCTGTTTTAAATAAATCAGTGTCTACAGGATTAATTTTTGAAAGTTACTGCACGGCTTGGATGGAATTTCAACGTCAGCCAGCGTCAGTGGTGGTTTAATGGAAAGTTCGAGAGCATGTGTTAGATCTCCGTAAGTGACCAGAGCCAAGTCTCCCATCTTTCTTCATTGAAGCAGCATTTCCTACTCCTCAGTTGAGAACAGTACTCGTCCACGAGCCACCAGGGTCGTGTTAACGACAAATCTTGAACGTGTCGCGAAAGTCATTCGTTAGCCAGGTCTTGAACTAGACTCATATTCAAGTTCAGCTGCGGTTGGTGGTCTTTCTAAACTGGACAGAGCGTAAATTCTTCCCGATCCTGGGTTCAACTCTTGATCCTGGACACCAAGGGGGCTGGGACACCCACCTCCGCCCCGGCAGCTGAGCCCCGGACCGCACGATCCGGCTGAGTCAGGCCCAGCCGCTCCCCCGCCCAGCACCTCCACCCAGGTGCGCTGCCCTCAGCGCCCTGTCTGCCAGCGGGCTCGGGGCTGCCCTGCCCTGTCCCACGTGGGGCCAGAGTGTCCTGGAGCAGCAGTCACCAACCCCGGGCCCGCCTGAGAACCCCTAGGGAACCCAGATAGCAGTATTTCCCAAGCTGCCCAGGTGACACGAATGTGGACCCAGAATGGAAAGCCACAAAAGGTCAAGAGGTGACCTGAAATCGCCACGTCCCTGCTGCCCAGCCTGGGGTGGGGGCTCAGCAGACCCCGTGTCACAGCGAGCCGGAGTCGGTACCAACCCTGACACCTCAGTCCACCCAAGGCTCGGATCTGTTTCATGGGCCCAAACCTCAGGATCTGCGAGAGCTTCCCTCCCAGGAGAGAGGAGTGTCAGGCTGGGTGAGACCCTCGGAGACAGAGAACGACCGAGAGGCAGCCCTGACTGCGGAGACCCCTCCTCCACACACAGCCCGCCCCCGCGGCCTAGGAGCCCGCAGGGTTCTCTCCCCACCATCCCCCTGACGCCCTTGGGCCTGGCACTTGCACAGGGCCCAGCTGAGGGCAGACCCACGAGCAACACCTGCTGGACCAGGGCTGCGTGAGGGGCAGGGTTCACTGAGCGCCTGAGCTTCCTGCCACGGCCTGCCACGGGACACGTGCTGAGGCTGACCGCGCGGGGAGCACCCGTGGGACGAGCGGAAGCCTCAGAAACAAGCCCCTGGGTCCGGTTTACAGGACAGGAGGTGACCGCGCCCACGGTCCGACCTCCTTCCGCCTGTCCGCACCCGGGTCTGACCAACACCCCTCAACCCACTGGGTTCCCTGCCCCTGGGTGCCCAGAGCCCCCTCCCTGCCCCCGTGGCTGCACCACGTGCGGCCCAGGAGCCCTGCAGGCTGGGGTGTCACCCCTGCTCGCCCGCACAGGCCTGGACTGTCAGTGAGCACCGTTCCAAAGCGCCCACCCTGGCTTTCTCCTCAACTGCCCAAGCCCCACCCACACCTGCAGCCCTGGACCCCCTCTTCCCCCTCCTGTTCTCCCTGCCCCAGCTCTAACCCCCTTCCAAGGGGCACAGACCACCGCTTCCAGAGGAATCTCTCGCACGTGCACAGTCTGGCACTCAGCAAGCACTCGATAAATGCTTGCAAAACAAGTGAAAAAGCAAAGGAAGAGAGCGGGAGATAGCAGCACACTGGGGACGCGGGTTCCTGGGAAGATGGGCTCCTTTCCGTGCAGTGAGATCCAGCTCTGTCCTGGGGGCAGCAGAGGAAGGCAGGGACTCCACCCTGTTCCGTAGGCCCCGTGAGGGACGGGACGTGGTCGTTTTCCTTTCCCTGCTACCTCCTGGCATCACACACAGTGCTTGAGACACCGAAAACGCTCGATAAATACTGATCAAATGAACGGATAAGCCAACCAACGGCCCCTGCAAGAGGCTCCTGGCTTCACCAGAAACGCAGCCCCCCAGCCCCCCACTTCAAGCCTCAGGGTGTGGCCCCTGAGAGCCGGCCTCCCCTGGTTCCAGCTCCCCGTGCCTCCCCATCCCCTCCCTCGCCCAAGGGCTCAGCCTGCTGGTTCCTGGGGAGCTGGCTCGCCTCGGCCTTGACTCCTGCTGGCCCTGCCTCTGCTGCGTGCCCCAGGCCACGTGACTCCTCATCTCCCTCTCTGGAGGAGCCCTGACACCCCCTTCGAGATGCCACGGAAGCGTCCCACCTTCTCCAAGAAGCCCTGCCTGGCACTGCGTGAGTCTGCACTGCCCTGGAACGGCCCCCTCTTTCTTGGTGCCCCCCGTTTGGAAGGACAGGCTCTGCTCATTGACCCCAACGCTCTTTTTTTTTTTTTAACTCAGCCATCAACGCAAGCCTAAGAGAGCCAGAACTGCCCCACTCACCTCTGTCCTTTCCCCCCCACCTCTCACCCACCGCCACCACCTGCAGACCCTGGGAGTGAAGGCCTCCCCACAGTACGTGTGCCCTCGGCACTTACACTGCTGCCCTCCTCTCGCCCACAGTGACCGCCTACATCCCATACATCCCACAGTCTGTGGTCCCCAGAGCAAACCCTGCTGCACCCCTGACCAAACCCAAGCACCCCAACCCACTGTGGTGGGCTAGTGTCTGATTCCCCTCTGCTTCCAGGCAAAGGGCCCCTGTAATCAGTGGTGGTTACGTGAATAAATGTACGTGAGCAGGCTGGACTTTCCGTCACCCTCATCCCCAGCACTCCTGGTTACAGACTCTCCCCACCTCCCCCCATCCCTTCAGATCAGCCAAGTGGAGCCTGTGCTATCTCCTCTTCTGCCCCTCTGTCCACTGAGTCCCAGCTGGCCCTTCTTCCAGGTCAATCACTGGGCAGCACATGAGGGGACCTAAACCATGACCCGCAGAGGCTGAGAACGAAAGAAACAAGGACAGGACAACGTAATTCACGGAGGACTTTCCACCAGGTGCAGCACACCCTTAACAAAGACAAAACCGCAACAGAGGCTCTTAAAGGTATTTTCATCCAAACTTCCTGTAACCTATCTTAGAGGACATTTGGAAAACTGGATACAAACGCTTAAAATAAGAAACACCAAAAACATAAGCAATTGCAGTAGGTCTAATTTTAATTGCAAGAGAATATTTAGTCAATAAATATTCACCATTCAGAGCTGCATCTGCAATTAGGATTACGAGGCACTAAGCTGCAAATTTATCAAGACTCATTAGCGAGAAAGAGTCTTAAATACTGAAAGTCAGACCCAATTTAGAGTAAACTCTTAGGGGTCCTTAGTAACTTAGCTCCAAAAATGATACAAAAAGGAAAGCGGAAGAAAGCTGTCAATAAACTATTCTGAAATTCTCAGCAGGGCCAAGCTCGCTTCTGACACGGACTCAGGTGAAGCACCAGCACCCGAGCTTCCCCAGAAGCCTCCATGACGGGCAGCTCAGCACTAGGGGTGAGCAAGCCACAACTCCAGCCTCCATCACACAGACACAAACTGTTTCTAATGTCGTGGTTACTAACATTTAAAAAGAAATCCTCAAACATATTTCCCTGTTTGGACCCTCAGAGTTGAAATAATTTTCTATGCTGGAACTTTTCTATACCACAGGTTTGGAAATACCACAAAGATTTAAAAACCAATAAAATCAGAGAAAAAGAATACAGCTGTCATAACTTATGACCTATCCTCATTTTCTGCCAGCCTTGTCAAACCAAGCTTGAAACCAAGCAAGGGTGGGAAATGCCACCTTGGCCCTGGCAAAGGCCCAGATCACCACGGCACAGACAGGGCACGTGACAGGGCCGGGAGCCTGGCCAGGCCAGGGGAGCCCGTCCTCGCAGGAGGAAGATGCACGGGCAGGTAGGCCCGGGGGGACTTACCGAGAGCAGCTTCCACGTGATGGCACGGACGGGCTTCGGGATCCCGGACCAGCTCAACTTCCGCAATTCTTCTGTTGACAAAAAAGAGACAGGCAAGAACAGGGTTACAAACAGCAAGCAAACCTTCCACTGTGGGGTAACGTCCTCCACCAGTTACTAGGGGGCAAAGAGCCCCGGAAATGAAACCACACTGAACCTAAATGATAAAAATTCCAGATACTGACTGTTCTCAACAGACGAGAGAAGTTTCCACTCTATTCAAGCAAAGCTAAACGTGACCTGTTGACATTTAAATCTTAGCACGTGTTTGCTAAACACACCCCAGTGATCCTGGAGCCACCGAGACAGGTGAGGTCCAGAGGACTCGGCTTCCTTCCACCCCTCCTTCCTTCCCACCCTCTTCCTTCCTTCTCTCTCTCTCTCTCACTCCCTCCCCCTCCCAACTTCACATCTTTCTTTCATCCCATGTCACTCTCACCACTTACTGTTTAAGAAGACCTACGTGAGGTGTTTTTCCCAGGACCGGTTTTGAAAGACATTCCTTCATGGAGATACGCTTGTGTCTACACAGCACTGATAAGGATGTAGCGTATTACACACACCAAGGACAATCAAGTTTAAAGAGTACAAGTCACTGCTGCCCTAACGAACACCTACGGGGGCGGGGGGGGGGGTCACAGAGGGGCGGGGCTGGCAGGGGCAGAGGAGGCTGGACGAAGGGCAGGATGGGGCACAGCCTGGGACAAGGATAAGGGCCCCTGAATTCTGTCTGACCTGGGTCTCCTCCAGTGTCTCCATCACATGCCCTGAACGGCTAGAGAACACATTTCAATTTGTAGATAGATAACAGTCAATGCCACAGAAACTGAAGTAATTATTTCTTTCCTTTAAGTTAGGAATCCACCATTAGGTCCTCCACCTAACAGTTCAGAGTTAATGATTAATACTAGGAATAAAAGAAATGATTAAAGAGAAGACTTTGGTAATATAATCAACAAAATACAAAGTCCTGGCATCTAATCTTTTTCCAATTACTAAAGTCTAAGTAAAATAAGTACAGAATAATTGGGCAATGTTACCAGCGATAACTTACATTTTACGGCAATCTCAGAAAATATCAAATCTTCCCCAGTTCCCTAAGGATATTATGAAAAGCAGGAACACCAATAACGCAATGTTTACCAGTCATGTTCCCAGGGCCCCTCTGACTGCGCGAACCTGGCTTTCTGATGATCGTTTATGAAGAAAGCCGAGAGAAATCTCAGTCGTTAATGTTCTCTCTCTTCATGAAAGAAACTCATAAAAATGGTACCTTAAATAGACAGCATGAGACACAGTTCTGACGTTGTGTGAGCTCTGGTGTCTAAAAGAAGCTTTCATATATATTATTTGATCCTCCAAACAGCTTGAGTTCATTAGGGCCGCAATCCTACAAGGTGAATGAGGAACAGTCTCAGAGAGGTTAGGTGACTTGGCCGTGGCGGCACAGGAACCAAGTGACCTTCACGCCCCGGAGTCCTTCCCCACGATTAACTTCCATTACTAAGAAGGCTTCTTGGAACACAGACAAGATCGAAATCTTAGATCAAGACACAACTGGATATCCAAAGAACAGCAGACACTAGTAGGATTTACTCCAGGAATGAAAGGAGGTTCCGCATCAGGAAATCTTATATTATGACTTTATTACGGTGTTGGAATGAGTGGATGGGAGAAGTAACAGAACTGCTCTGACAGAGGTCAGGTGTGGACTTTCACCCCGGGGCCCATTTGCCCCTTCCACCTTTCCAGGAGAATCCTGGTTATGCAGCAAAGTGACCACCCCCCGCAGCCCAGGGGAGGCTGAACCCGCCTGCCTCACTCTAAACTTAGACCGGGTGGGCTGGTATGGAGCTAAGCCACGCCCTCACCGGTGACTGATTCGGCAATGGGCCTGGGACCCTATGTGAACCACTGAGAAGAGAGAGCAAATTAGCTGGGGGCTTCCGAGAAAGCTCCTCCTGGCTCTTGGGAAATGTGTCGGAGGTAACCCTCTCTTGCCTCCTCTGAATGTTGCTCGGGTCAGAGGTCAGGCTGAGGACTGCGACAGCCACCTAGAATCCAACCAGCCTGAGGACGAAGCCAGCAGAGAGGTCGGCAGCACCAGGAGACAGGCAGGAACCAGGGTTCTGAGTTCAGCAAGATGGGCAGATGCAAGGGACAAAAATCAATAGCTTGTCACCACTGACAAAACAAATAGAAAACTGGGCAGTCACAACCTTAACAAGAAATACACAACACCATATGAAGAAAACTATAGGGGTTTTACTTAAAGACATAAAGAAACAGAGGAAAACACTGAGCTCAATGACTGACATTAACAAGTATTTAAGGAACACATCCACGGGGTCAGGCACGAGGCCAGCGGTAGGGGAATTACTCAAGTGACCACCACACAGCCCCCAGGCGCAGGGAACTCACCTCCCACTCCAAGGTCATGGCAAATGTAAAATCACGACTGGATAAAGTGCTTAAAAGACGAGGTGAAAAGCACAATGAAGCCCTCAGTGGGAAGGTGTACCCAGTTGGGGAGGTCTCCTTGAAGACATGAGATCTGAACTAAGACCTAGAGACACGGAGAGATCACCTGAGAGAAGAGGGGGCCGGAAGCGGAATATTCTGGGCCCAGGGAACAGCTTATGCAAAGCCTTGACCACAGTGGAAAAAGGATCAGAGGGGCCAGTGGCCCCAAAGAGCCCACTTAAGGGGCTACTTAGGAAGCCCAAGGCAGAGGTGATGGTGGCTAGGATGGTGACAGTGAGAGAAGGGCAGTGACCGAAGAGAAATCTAGGAGATAAAAACAAGAAGACACATAAGACTGGATCTAAGACTCAAAATTACAATGCTGTCAACTGTCCATCTTTAAGTTCGAAGCAAAGCCAATCCAAATTCCAACAGGATAGACTGCATGTAAGTTTCAGGATAGCCGGAAACGTAATTAGCTGACCTGAAGTTCATCTGGAGGAACAAATGCATAAGTGCAGCCAATAAAATTTCCAAAAAGAATAACGTAAAAAAATTTGCATTAACGGATAAGAAAATGTATACTAGGACTACAGTAATTAAGACATAAGGATTCTACGAGCAAAGCTAAAATGAAGAGAGAGAGAAGTATAACAGAATAAGTGGTTCACATCAAACTGTATTTAGTTGTGATAAAAAGAGCATTTCAAAGCAAGGGGCCCACCAACTAATGACGTCCCAACAATATAGTATCTATTTTCAGAGAAGTAAGTTAGAACATATACCTTACCACACAAAAATATATTTCCAGACGATTAAAGATCCAAAGATCTAAATGCAACATGTGTATAAAGGAATGATTTTTAAAATACAAGAAAATATAAGAGAATATCTTGCTGTCTGTGGGATGGGAAAAAGGTCTTCCGAAGCAAGACACAAATCTCAGAAACTATAAATAAAAAGCTTAACAAATTCACTATATAAAAGTTTAAAATGACTGTGCAGTGAAAGAAGCTACATTAAAAAAAAACAAATGACAGATCTGAAAAATACACATGCAACATAAAATATTAAATGGTTAACATCACTAATATGTAAAGAACACATAAAAAAGTAAGAGTGATCAATCTACAGAAAAATGGAAAATGCACAAGAGACAGAAATGGCTAATAAATGTACAAAACTAGGCACGTAACCTTAATGGTGATCAAAGAACTAACTACATTATTAAAACAAGACACTTGTCAAAAGTTAGAATCTTAAATAATGCCCAATATTGATGAGATTCTGGGTAAACAGCCACTCTCTTATAGTTTGGTAAGAGTGTATATTGATATAATTTTTTTGTTGGTCAAATTTTAATGGTGTATAATGCTTGAGCAGCAACCTATTCGACAAGGATGTCTGCAAAGGTACACAAGGATTATACACAAGGGCGTTAGCGTCTGAGTACAATCATAACGGAAAATTAGAAACAAAGTGTCTATTAATAGAGAGATGATTAAAAACCCTGTTACATCCCCACTGGATGACAATGTTGCCATAGAAAAGAATGGGTATCGTTTTGTGGGTGGATATAGAATAAACTTCTCTAAATTATGAAAAGAGAACAACAGAGAAGACAATGTAGCCGCACTGAGTATTTCTGCCAGCACACACAGGAATCGAGCAGCACAGCCAGACTTGGGGAGGGGTTCAGGGAGCGGGCTCAAGGGTGCTGAAGACCTACCTTTCATTGTCTACCCTGCTGTGTTTCTACAAAGTTCCTGTCCATCTCCACCTTTACCTCCAACTTTTCAAAATCCACCCAGCCTTCCAGGCCCAGCTCAGCCTCTTCCAGATCTAGGACACCTTCCTGACGACTCCAGCCCTCACTCACTTCCCTCTTCTGTGAGTGCCACCTGGAGCCCAGAGCCCGGAGCCCGCCCACCTTCAGGGCCACGCCAGGAGCATCAGTCTCACCTCCTAGAGGGGGCTTATGAGTTCCTGGAGGTCAGTCCCCATGATTTTCCTGCTTGTCTGTCCTGATGCAGTGCCTTGCGATTGCTTGGCAGTAAGTACTGGAGAGATGCAAGACCAATTCCTCCCTCCAGCCCTTCAGAGGTGTTTCTTTTTTCTTTTTTTTTAGGGGGGGGCAGGTGTCACATTTTTAATTGAAATGTAATTTATACACAATAAAAGAATGAATATAGCCCCCCAACAAGACTGAGAACACTCCTCTCACCCTCTTCTAGTACCTCCTTGCCCCCCACTCTGAGCTAACCCCTTTCTGATATCTATCACCATAGATTAGCTCTGCCTGTCCTTAAAATTCACGTAAATACTACACACGGGATGCCCTCATTTGTGTCCTACCTCTCTGCTCGTAATGTGTCTGTCAGAGTCATGCGTGTAGCAGTAGTTCCTTCTTTACAAGCAGGGACAGTATTCTTTGCTATGAATATATCACCATCTGTTTAGGTATCCACCTGCTCACAGATGCCTGGGTTATTTACAAGCTTTCCTCCGTGAAAAAGCCGCTATGCACGTTCCTGTGGGTACCTGCTTTATGGGTGGATGTTTCCAATTC